TCTCTCTCTCTCTCTCTCTCTCTCTCTCTCTCCGACAGATGAATAACTGAACTGTAATTTTCTTAGTTTTACTTATTTCTAAAATAATGTTTTATCTAATATACGAAGACTGCACGCAATCTCTTATATAATCGCTACACATATCATACAAGCAATGAGTAAATTATTGTTAGTATTTGTGTGATTATAGTGTCAAAGACACTGTCTTTGGAAATATTTCGGAAAATTAGCCAAAAATGACATAAACATTATTACCCCACATGTATTTAAACAAATTATTTGCAAACATTTATCCGTGCAGTTGACTAACAATCATAATTAACAAATCATATAGCATTTTATTTGCTTCATTTTGTGATAAATAGTAATTAAAAACAATTACAAAGCATTGAATTAATTAAATTGAAAATTTTAAAATTATTTTCAGAGAATTGCCAATAAATGTATAATTTTTCTTTTTTGTCATTAAATATAAATTGAAACCTATTTTACCAAAACATATGAATCTTCAAAACTTGATTATAGAGATCTTCAAATGATTTGTGAAATGTATTGAGTCGTGAGACTGACATTTTTTGTGTATAACTTTGATTATAATCTGTTTATTAATTTTATTATTAAAATTCATTGTCAAGAATATATGACATATTTTTTATTTTGATCTATTTTTCATATATTGTAATACAGTTTTGTGTGATTTATGGAACATTGGATATGAGGATCAGTTGTTGTGAACATAAATCATATTTTTCATTTTAAAAAACTTTTCTGAATAACGATTGAAATATTGATATTTCAAGAGTTGAAAAAATTATTTGAGTGTAATATAAAACTTATATAAAAGCAATTAAATTTGTGGCTAATCTAGAAAGTCGTGACCACAATCTAATTGTAAACGATTCCCCCATTTCTACCATCTTTTATATTTCTCACTCACTCTTCCCATTGACTTTTAATTATAAAATTAATTTGTTTTTCATTTTGTTGCTGTAATAGTAATACAGTTGTTTTGTGAGTGTTTTTTAGCGCATATTTTGAAACATTTTTAATTTGTATTTTTTTATTTTGAATGTGAATTTTTCTAGAAATTAGATTATAAGGTGAATTTTTTATATGGTATATTTTTTAGTGTAAAATATCGTCTAAAATGTTCACGTATTGATTTTTAGTTACATATTTATCAAAATCTTCTTACTTTCTTAAATAAGAGCCACACAAGGATCACATGAAATAAATTTTTTGTTCAAATAAATGGTAATATTTCACACAAACTTTTAATTATTTCTAATCTAATTCACACCATATATTCAATAATTAGAAAAATGTTTATTTTTTGCCGCAAAATATATTAATATTTTGCAGATAGAAATCGTAAAACATTTAAAACTAATAGTTATGAGAATTCTTACAAATAATTAAAGCATATTTGTTAAAAATACTTAAAATTTTTTGGTTTGAATGAAAATGTCATTTTTCATTTGATAAGATCATTGATTATCGTTAATGAAAATAAACTTTCGCTTAATTGTTATATATTCTCATTACTTAATGGATTGGAAAGTCTCTGTCTTTGAAAGAGCACTGGAGAGAGAGAGAGAGAGAGAGTCAAAGGATATTAGTTTTAAATATTTATTTGAATTTTATAGTTTGTTTTTTAAACGATTTTTCTTAATTTTAATGACAATCAGATTATATTTTCATTTTAGTGTTAATTAATGAAACGTTGAATTTAATTACATTAATTTATAATTGAGAATATGAATTATTTGTTATAATGTCATGAATTTTATAATAGAATATTATATATCCACTCATCCATAGGAAAGTAAAAGTATTTTTTATGTAAAATTGTAAACTTATCATCAATAATGTTTTATAATTGGATTAAATCGTCTTTTCATTTTGACTCTCTCTCTCTCTCTCTCTTCAGTTAGTCTCTAATATTTTTGAAACAATATTTAAATTATTAATGATCATTGATAAACAGAAGTAAAAATATTCATAAATTAAAAATAGCAAAATTTAAATCAAATTTTCCAAACTCTTGGAATTATTTCTCAAAGGATTACTTCAAAAATTTATTATAAGAATTGATAGAAATATAAGTCAATAACCTTTTCTGGTGTTAATAATTATATATATCTTTTTATAGTCATTTACAAATAATTAGAAATCAACGCTTTGAACACAAATCCATTTTATCATTATGTTTAAAGTGATTAACAATTTTTCTTTATGATTTACATTTTAACTACTTATTAATATTATAAATACTTTGTTTGACAATAAGATTCTCGTTTTGAAAGAAAGAATAAATTTTGAAAAGTATTTATTATAAGTATTGCTTAATTATTAAACACATTTTGAATTAATTAAATGTTCATGCATATATTGTCACAAATGTGTGACATAATGGTAAATTGTCACTTCTCTTTGCTATGTTTTGACTTGAAATGTCTGTCCAAAGCGTGTTTCCAACTATATTCCCGAAGACAGACGGAACAGACATACTTCTGGTCGGGATTTGTGTGTGTATTCCTCAAGTGTTCCCTCATATTCTGCGGACTCACGTAAACCTTCTGACAAACGGGACATTTGACCTTCTTTTGGGATCGACTGGCGGTGCCTTTGCGGGGAATTCCCGCTTTGGATACTCTCGGAGAAGTAGTTTTAGATTTTTTAACTTTTGGCTCTGTTTTGATAACCGTTATGAGAGACTTGTCATTAGTTTCTTCTATAGTATCTGAAGAGCGATCAATAGAGCTCTCATTCATAGCCTGTATAACTGGGAGATTGGTATTGGATTGCAAATTGAATGCAGCATTCAATGGCTCATCTGTTGTATCCGTTACTTTATTTGTTTCATACGTGTGTTGTTTATCATTGAATTGATGCGCCTTTTTGTTGATGGGCTCGCAATTGAGATATGAGGGAAAAGGGCTGGTATTGACATCACTATTGACAGGTCCGGTGGATGCGCTGGAATCGGATGATTCTTCTGATGGCTGATTGGCATTGATATTGACATTGTGTTTGACATCAATCATGACTGACTGTTGGAGCAGTTGTATGGGCACAACGCTATCGGTGCTGATCGGCGGCACTCCGTTAGCGGTCATTGATTTGTGTTTCTCATTACCATTACTATTGCTATTCATTAGGGATGCGATACTTGCCTCACATTTTTTATTATTATTGCTATGATTAGTATTATTGTTATTAGTATTCATATTCACATCCTTTTCGTCGTCTATCCATTCATTCAATAAAACATTTTTTGAGAAATTTTTTGCAATAATATTTGTAATGTTTTCATTAGTTTTACTACTATTACCGTCAGTGATGTCGTCTTCCAGGGCTGTCATATCATTGTAAACCATCTCATCATTAGTGTTGTCATTAGTGAGTTGTGTTTGCATTGCAGACACTATACGACCATAATTAGTACGCTTTTGGCCATTAGTGTCCGTTCGCTTAGTGCGAGTGGTGGCGGCCCTACCCTTCTTCCGGGTTCCCTTTCCATTACCTGTGCTCTCATTGCTTTCACACGCTTTCAAACACTTTTTTCCCATTGATTTGATGACTTGTTTGCTATTATTGTCGGCAATCGACTCGTCATTGTCTTCCCCCTCCTTCTCTTCCTCCTCCTCTTCCACTCCGTTGTGGTCGTCGTTGTCATCAATGGCAGCGCCCGTACTCTCAGACCAGTTATTCTTATCAAACTCGTGCAGACCCTTAATCTGCAGCTCCGCTCCATTAGCCAGTATTGACCGGAGTTGCCGTCGGGGGACACATACCTCTCCCCTATAGATAAACTCGACGATTGCCTTCAGGTCAGCGAATGGCACGCCTTTAATGATGATAATAGGATGGTTTGTATCGGTCTTATGCGGACAGTCGTCAAACAGGCTCTTGAAGTACGGCGAACACGCGGCCAACACTACCCGATGGGCCCTTAACTGCTGACCTCCGGCACTGAGGGTCACGTCCACCAGACACTCAGTGCTGTACAGTTGAGCCAAAGCCCCGGTTATGAACCTCTTGTGATTGTTTAGTCGCAAACAAAACGCTTGAGATGTTTCTGATGACGACGACGACGACATACCCGACCACCACTTTATTGCCTCCTATTTCTGGGATATTATTTTTGGTTCAATTCTTTGTATGCCGTAATCGATAGCTTTTTTCGTCAATAGCTGTGCTGTTGTCCTATAGTTTTGTTATTATAGAAAATTATCACTTTTTTATTTATGTTTTTATTTTCCAATTTATTTACTTTGAGTTTTCTTTAGCAGAATTAGCAAATCTGCTGTAATTAATAGCTTTTTACAGGAAATTATATATTGGAAACTAATAGATATATTTGAGACAACTTTATATATTACTGTAGAAGTGAATAAATAGTGAAATTAATAATAAAAATTTTGTTTAAATTTATTTTTTAATAACTATTCTGCCGTAAAGACATAACAGGCGATCGTATACTTTCACGTCATAATAATGAGATAATTATGTCATAATTTATTAATTAGTATTTCGATTCCAGGAAACTATTTCTCGTTATTTGTTTATTTTGAATTTTTGTAAACCCTTTCATAGGATATATACTGTTTTGTTTGATATTTTTATTTTGTATTTATAATTAATTATAAAGCCGTCAAGTTTTCAGAGCCTCTCTCTCTCTCTCTCTCTCTCTCTCTCTCTCAGATATTTTTTGTACTCATTATTTGAAAATTCAATTTATTTGCAAACATGTTATGGAAATTTATATTTAAATTAGTTTTGAAAAAATGGTTTTCATTCAATGCTAGGCTACAAGATCTGCCATTAAGTTATGCCCTTATATTTTATTAACAGTAATTGCATTTCTGCGGCTCTACTTTTTTTTATTAAAATTTATTTAAATATTAATATAAGTCTTGGTTTTTAGTGTTAGTGACGACAAATGTAATCAACATTTCGCTCACGAGTTTGTATACAAATAATCTGAAGGTGTATTTGAAAGTAGATAAGGATTTGGTATAGTATTAAAAACTTGAAATACATAAACATAATATTCTAATCACAATTGTTTATTGTAACGGAATTAATATTATGACAAAAATTATAAATGAGAGAGAGAGAGAGAAATCTTCTCTGACCGTAAAAAAGCATTCACTTTAAGAGCATATCTGGCAATCATAACATCATAAGCACTCATGACATTTAACATAGAATTTTCAACCCATAATTCTCTCTTGACTTTACCTGTGATTAAAATTGATAAATATTTGTTTGAAATGTTATACCTCTAAACAAATTTTAAGTTACTGGTATTTAATTAATAGCTAAAGGTTAATAACAATAAAACAATTTATACACTAATTATTAACAGTGTATTTCTGCCCAACCATTAAGTATTTGTTAGATTTTCCAAACCATGAATGTTATAAAATATATAACATTTTTAAGATATAAATAAAAATAAAGCGATAAATTTGAATAAATTTTTTTCTTTAGTATCCAAACAATATTTTGTATGAATTATAGCAACAAAAAAGTTCTTAAGTATTGTAACCATGAATTCATGTGAAACCATAAAAAAGTTTTCATACGATTATATTTCAATTTGAAAACAAATTTCAATCTTCAGTCGATATGCAATATTGTCTGAAATGAATGCATACTTGAGATACGGACTTAAAGGCAGACAAATGCATGACTGATGTAAAGTATATGGAAGTTCAGCAAAACATAAATTCATTTATTTGTTACCATTACTTGTTGTAGTTTTTGTTTAATTATTTTTCCAAAGATTTGGTTTACGCTCTTCTGATCGCATAGAGAGAGAGAGAGAGAGAGAGAGAGAGAGAGAGA